CTCTCCCCCTCCCCCTAAACGAAAATAAGTACGGACAGAGGTAGAAAGGAGGCGTGTTTGGGGGGGGGGGGGGGGGGGGGGGGGGGGGAAGGGGCGTGGTCGCACAGTTCCGGAGTGGTAGGGTGTCTTCCGAAGGCCCAGTAGGTCGTCAGTCTTCGGAAACGTGTCGTCACCTTCCTGACCACCAGGTTCAGAGTTACAGAGTGTAATCGGCACTTTATCGGAATTTATTCGGACAACGTCCTATAACCAAAGGAACAGTAAAGTACAATTGAATATTCTTTTCCCTTCTTTAACACGGAAAATTTTGGACCTACAATAAGCAAAACGAACGTAGAAAAATACGTCACTACGTTTAATCAGCGAAAGCCGCGGGCTCTTCCCTCCCTTTTAAGTCTGGCTGTGGATGTCACAAAGCCAAATCATGTCTGCACCTCAGGGCAGGAGGCGGGGAAGATGGAGGGAGATGTGTTCGTCTACTGGGACTATCAATCTACTTTACAACTGTCAATCACTTAACTCTTTGACATTGTTTGTATTATCCATAGCAATTAGAATGGCGTTTTAAAGAAGAATGTCATCCTTGATACTGAAAGTTATGTGAAACCAGATACATGTATTGTTTTAATCAAGCTTGTACTTTACCAGTGAGTTCATTTTATGGAGAAATTCTGCTTTCATACAACCTGGGTCTTTTTTGTGTAAGTGCTGCTTTTGCAACAATTTCTCATCAAAAATGGTTGATGACTTATTCCTGATATATTCTGTTTAGAAATGACAGACTTATTTTTTTAAGAAATTCTTCAGATACAACTCAGTTTAAAAAACAAACCATTGCTTTATAAAACAAGGGAAAGCATCTGCAGAAAGTAGTCTGTGCTTTGCTGGAACATTCTGGTTTTAATAACCACAAAAACTACTTACAGAGGCATAATATTTCCAAAATTACTATGGTGATGTATTTTTCACCCGTACTTTATGAAACTTTATTTCAGTGATGTAACTATATTGGCAGATCTCACCACATAAGCTATTCCATGTTATTCTCACAGACAATTGCCAAAACTATAAAAATAATGAAGTTGTAAAAAAATCTATATTTTCCTTAGTCTGAGTTAAGCAGCACGCACGCACATTTCGTAGTGGCCAAACGGTGGTACTACAACGTATGTGTCAGTCACGCGATGTCATTGGGACAACACATTTTTTTTCTCATTAAATTAAATTGGAACTTCAATTACGTCTGTAAATCAGCAGATACTTTTTTGTATACATATATCAACTTACCAGGATGAACACGTAAATAGGCCTTTTTTAAATGACTCTCCTAGAATTGTTAAATACCCTAAAAGGTCAAATCCATAGTTATTTTCCCTCGGAAATTAATTTGACTGAGTCTATACCCGCAATGATGCTGCAGATTGCAGGCGGGGTTTAAGGAAAACACAGGTCGCATGCTCTATAGGCCCAGATTCCCGGATCGTCTGGGTATTTTTGTATTTGTGAGTCAGGTCATTTTGGTTTCATGCTGCCTCCAATGCTGTATCGATGTTTCTCTAATACATCCATGAAGGCTATGGCCAAAAGCTAAGATGGCGACGGCCAACATGCCAAAGTAGAAACTTTGAAACCGTAGTCAACATGGGTGACGTCACAGTGCCTATGGCCTCTTTCTACAAACAGTCAATGGTCTGAATGGAATGAACAGTCTCAAGTCTAAACATTAAATCTATGTAAAGGTGTATTTAAATGAGTAGCGTGTTTGCCTACCTTTTATTTCATTCCTGTTGTGTTGTGTTGGCCTGTTTCGTGCCTCCACTGGTCCCAGCTGGTAACTGCACTTGTTAACCGAGGAATGGCGGTCAAAGGGATCTAGCAGAGACAAAAAGAGAGAAAGGGTCAAAGAAGGACAAGGCAGGCTTTAAACAAGAAACAGAAAACCAAAATATGACATTCGGAACATTTTAGAACAGCGCTCTGGTTCCACTGAGGCAGATGCCATTAGGAGTTAGTTCAGACATAGACCTGTGTGCGGGTGGAGCAAGATGACAAGAGCCCTGCTATTGGAGTCATGCATTTGTAATTCTGATCAAAGAGCAGCCTCCCTCTACATGACGTTGGCATGATAATCGTGGCGGGACTACTGTTCCTCGGTGCAGAGCGGAGGTGAGGTCACCTTCCTCTGCTCAACCACTACAATGAGAGGGAATGAAAGTCATCACAGGAAGACTTGTCAAGAGCTTTCTTGGCAATCGTTATTTCCTTCGCAGGCTCTCAAATAAGGCTCAACAAGAGGCGACAGCTCCTGGCTTCTGCTGTCTGTTATGGCTCGTTAACATACGCGGGGTGGAAAGGTTGGCTGCTGAAGCACGGCTGAAGGAACAAAGACGAGAATGAAAAGAGGCAATAACGGGTGTGGATTTGTTCCCGTTTTGGAAAATGGATTTATGTCCCAAGAGCAGCTCCTTCCATATTGTAAGGGATATCTGGTGTTAAAGATTAGGAATGAGGAGACAGGAAGACACATTGGTTCAGGTGAAGAAGGATTACTGATTAAAGAAAGCTTTGTATTTGAGGCGATTTATTAGGTCAAAGAAAACATGAGAGCTTTCAGATTTGCCGGCATTATCTTTATATTTGCTGTTATTTCATATAACTTTATGCTTATTGGATAAGAAGCTAAAACATTCCACATACAAGAAACACAAATGCAAACAATTGTTACATGGAGGTGTTGATGTTTACTAAGTCTACCCTCATTGATGTAGATAGGGTGGACAAAATAATAGAATCACTTGTCAGTATAACGCAATGCAACCTCTAAAGTTATTGTACATGTGTGTATGAGCTGTGAAGTTTAAAGGTGGGGTAGGTAATTCACTTCAGAAGCACTTGTTGTTATATTCCATGGAATGCTCTTAACGTCCCGATAGCAATGAATACATTAAATGCTTTGACAATAAATACATAAAAAAATCATCTGTGGAAGCCGTGGCGCTGTAAAAAGCACGACCAATCATCTGAGCCGGTCCGGCTAAAATAACTGGATGGCCTACCTGCCTGTCAGCCTTCCATCTGTGCACAAACGTATCTCGTGCCCTCATTGGTCATGTGCGCGTTCGTGTGTGTTGGAGGAGGGGCTCTGTAAGGAAGTCTGAAGGAAGGGGCAGATTCTTGTCGGCTGCTTACTTTCAAATTCTAGCGCACTCGAACTGGTTTCTCCGTTCTTACCTACCCTACCTTTAAGCCAGGTGTACCTTCAGTAATTCAAGAAACTGAGTGTGTATTTAAAACGATATCCTTTTAGACACACTCACCTCTACGTTTACTCTGCTGTTGTTTAGTTGACTTCATCTTCCGAGCTCTCTTGAGCATCTGGAGAGCGGTGTGGCTGTGAGTGAACCCCCTGAAAAAGAAAAAAAAAAGGTCAGACTGTCACACACATAATTACATTCAATGAAATAACAAAACTCACATCAACAGAAGATATATGATAAGACGAGGATTTACCATTCTTCTATAATCTTTTCCGATCTTTCAGAGAGACGGCTGAGCACCGACGCTGAAGCAGGAGACTTGCTTCTGAAATCACACAGAGATTATTGAGCTTAAAAATAAGTTGTTAAATGTTTTTTTACTGCACTTTATTAAAGACTTTAAGTTAGGTGGCGCTTTAGTTCTGGAGCAAATCCTATATCATGACATGGTCAATAAGCAATGTGAAATCTAATGTCATTCCTATCCATTGCCTTTGTTTTAAATATATGAATATTACAAAGTCTGTGTCGTTTGAATCTCAGTTTATTGGTACATCCTACTTAAAGGTCACCTATCATGCTATTTTTAGGCAATAGCATAGGTCTCAGATATATAACAATATATAAAAACATGTCTATGAAGTGTTTTGCTCAAAATACCAAAACAGATCACCCATTCTAGGCCATGCCTCATACAGTATCCCTCTATTTCACTTCCTGTTTCAAAAGTGCTGATTTGGGGTGTAAAGCTTTAAAAAATTAAAAAATTGATTAAAAAAAAAAAAAAAGGGGGCTGAGCTCATGCGGGACCCGGCAGCTACTGTCTAAACTAAATACTGCCGTGATGAAACGCCATATCATGGATTATCAAGGATTCTCTCTGAAACAGTATGGAGCTCAAAGGCTTTCTCTCTTGCCGGTTATACCACAAGGTGAGTTCCTTTTTATTTCCTGCTTCTTCACACACATGCTCTCCAGTAGAGGTTAGCTCTGAGTGTTAGCGATGCTAATGTAAACATGCACCGACCATATTACGTCCAAAACAGTCGGGCATTGTTTCTGATAGCAACGTTTCTGATAGGGCCGTGGGTCCACATTTCAGATATTACGTCATATCGGACGGATCAGCTCCGTTGTTCCCCCGTTTTTAGAGATTTGGGTACGGAGGAAAAGAGAGAGGGTTTTATTTTCTGACGCTGCGTGAGTTCCCCGACACACCAGGGACACATCTTTATGTATAAAAGACATCAAAAAGTGCATTTTGCATGATAGGTCCTCTTTAAGGTATGAATTTGAAGGCCATAGTTACTCTAAGTAGCCTGTTAAACACCTACAGCATATTCCCCATTCTAAACTGAGTTTGAGTTTGTTCTGTGGTTAGAAACCTACTCACACAAAAACACCCCAACAACCTGTTACCTTGTAAGATGTTTGGTACCAAATGCAGTTCAATGGCAGGCAGTAATAAGGCTGTGGGTGAGTCTACCTGTTGGAGCTCTCAGGGGAAACTCTCTGTTCAGCAGCCTGTTCTGGAGGCACCCAGGCCTGCTTCGGCCTCCACACAGGCAGGGGTGAGAGTATATACTCAGAGGGTTCAGGAAAGTGAACAGGAGGCTGAAACAAATACATAAAACAGTGTCAGCAATAATTCAAAGTTCTTAACACTTTTACAGTTAGAGCGATTTTAGATAACTTGTTTATTGGGTCCTAAATTGTCTTCAAAAGAGTTGTTCATTTACTGAAGTGGTTCTTTACATATGGGCGACTGTCGCTCTATCTGGAGAGACGTGACTTGGGCCATTCTGGGAGGACTGATGACTGACTTGAGAGGTGCCAGTTTTGCCTCCTGGGCACTGCCGAGGTGCACAAGGACACCAGATCACTGATCTCTGGTCGATGTGAAATAGCTACCCATGCATGGGTATAAAGGCAAGATTAACTTTCATTGTGTGTGCGGTACTGTGTATACTGTACGTACATGTGTGGGACGATTAAGGAGGAATTCATTCTAATCTTCCATTTCCACTTTTTACATTTGAAAATTGAATAAGAAAATAAAAAAACATGTGTGTTTTCAGAAGTTTGAGAGGCTTGAGCTCTAAATGTAAAAATATGTGCCTCTCTGTCTGAGACAATATAGTTCTGAGTATGTGTAAAATGAAATATGATGTGTACTGTACAAGAATGTCCAATAACATTTAAATCAAGTGCATGTTTTCTTTTTAGGTATTTGTCAGAGCATTTTCACCAAAGGAATGCTCGTATGTAAGTCAAACTAACAGCTTCATTTCTCTCCAGATCCCTTTTCTTTTTTTTTGTGAAAGTGCTAAATTGTTGATCCGTGCCTTTGATGTGTACCTCGGTGTCAACACAATAAGTCCGGCCTGACGGCAGCTGCGCCGCATCAGCTGGCCTAAAGCAGCCACCATGATGTACAGTGCTGAGCGCGCTCCAAAGAAAAGATCCAACGAGAGGAAAATGAAGGGGGGAAACTTTTTCCTAAGAGTAAATTCAAACAGGAGAGTGAGGGACATCCTGAAAGCGGCGATGGCCGAGATGAGAAAGAAACAAGAAAATAACTCTTCCATTGACATCACACAGGGGCTGGTGGACCGCTTTCACTAAAGCACCAGGTTTTCCAGATTACATATTACCTTCAGAGACCGTGGCTGGTCTGACATAAGGTAACGTCTGGGAGGGGAGTCCTCAGGAAGGGACAATGTCCACTGTTTCTCCAGCGCTGCCTACCAAAGAAAACATGTGTATTTACCGGTAATTGCATTTTTTCTTTTTTTCTTTTTTTTTTTGATATACTTTATTAATCCCCGTGGGGAAATTGTTTTTTCTGCATTTGACCCATCCTAGTGTTAGGAGCAGTGTGCTGCCATTTTGAACGGCGCCCGGGGAGCAGTGTAGGGAACGGTGCCTTGCTCAGGGACACCTCGGTAGCACTTGGTCTTGCCGGGACTTGAACTGGTGACCTTCCAGTTGCCAAGCCAAGTCCCTATCGACTTCGCCACCACCGCCCTTGTCCTTTCCATATTTCTGGAAAGGACAAGCGCAGAACAACAAAGAGTATTGTGTAGTGTGTTATATAAGCTTTAGTGCATGTAAATGGTCTGCAAAGGCTTAAATCCCTGAGTTCCCTGCAGAGTGAGTTTCTGTCCCACACACTCTCTAAATATTCATGTTTCTGGACTCATGTGTAAACCTGTATTTGTTGGTGTCTTTCCACACAGGTTTTTCTGCATGTGTGTGCATATTTCTGTGTTTGTGCATGTTTTTATTTATGCGGGAGCGTGAACTGTATGGATACAATGTTGGATAGTTATTAAAGGTCCAGGTTTGTGTGTCTGACAGGTCGTGGGGGAAGCAACAACTGAACCATGAACGTGAGGAGCACATACCTCATCGAAGTCAAATTCATCCACGTCCACCTCCTCAAAGGTGTCGTCCTCAGCCGCGTCGGGGCGTGTGACAGCAGCCAGAGCAGATGCGAGCCTCCTCCTCAGAGAAAAGCCCCTCCAAAACGCCTGAAGAAAAAATAAATAAAAAACCTCCATGAATCACGAGGTAAATATGGTGTGTTATCCCATTAGAGAGATAAAACATGCTAACCTCTCTTTTAATTGCACAGTGTTCTGCTGTCTGAACTCTGCGTGACTCCGGACGGAGACAAATGGAGCTCCAGTGAGCCTCTAAATCCTCCAATTCCCAGAGGGCCGCGGGGGGCACATTTCACTTCAAGTAGAGCCGAGCAGGAATCCTAGAACCGTTACTACCGCACTTCTTTGGAATCTGATTAATCACTCCGAATCCCCCATCCCGCCACAACACACTTTTCTACAGTTCCTCCACTCCCACCTCCTCCCTCCTAGAGCCCTTAAGGACCCATCAAACACTTTGTGTGATGCGGAGGGATTTGGGAGAAGTGTTGAGTAGCATGTTTTTTAGAACAGCAGCCTGTGCCTATACACAGAGGATTAGCAGAATAAGCCTCCATAACACGTATGAGGAATGAAGATGAATGTTGAAGGGTGAAAATGGAAATATTCAGATATTCACTGGAAAATTCTAGTTGTAGCAGAAAGGCGCTTAATCACACATTGACAGGTTAACAAGCAAATGCTGAATTAAATAGTGACGTTTGTTTTTTCTTTACAATAATTACAATTGCTCACTCAAGCTTAATGGATGCTAGTGTTCCTGCTCTTGGGTGGACCAAACAACCAATCAGAAGACTGCACATTCATCTATGGGAAGTTGGGATTGGTCATTTTTCCTATTTACAGACATTTCATAGACGCAATGATAAACCAACAAACCAACAATAGAATTGACCAATTAACTCAAATTGACCATACGTTTGGATCATTTCTGTTCTCTGACATTTGAGTTGTTCTAATGCAATCTTCTTTAGTTTCCAATGCATCTGTGTACATGGTGATCTAATAGATGGGTTGACTGAACTGGACTTAGACATGATGATTAGAAAAGATCTAAGAGGTGGATTAAATTAAGGAAAGATATTTGAACTTTATGAGCTCAGAAAAAATGGTCTGTCAGAAGGTGGTGCAACTGCAGTGTTGGTGGAGAAAAACAATTATACACTTTGGCCCAATCCCAATCCACGCCCTACACCCTACACACTACACACTACACACTAGATACTACACACTAGATACTAGACACTACACACTAGACACTACACACTACCCCTACGTTTGCACGTTCGCACGGAGGGTCCGCCACATCAAGTGTTGTTCCAAACCAACGAGTGTGGAGGGGGAGTGGGCTATCAAGCCCTCAAACAGCGAGTCTGCAGCGGTGCTGACTGGAGACCGGTCTCTACCTGACCGGACTCAACGCTGTGTGTGTCCGTCAGGAAACAAGCTGTTTACAAGTAGTTCCAGCAAACATCCACTGATAAACTGCGATGTTAAGAACCTATTGATAACCTCATATGTTTTTACTTAGGATCATACCTGTGTTTAGTCTAGAAAAAGGTAAATGTGTGCATTTTATTATAAAGTTGTGTATATTTACAGACTGTTGCAAAAACTAAGAAGCTTATAAACATCTGGTTTAAAACTAAAAGAGTTGTACAGGAAATATTTGATATGGAGAGATTCACACACATATTGAGGGTCCAGAATGGGAAATTTGAGTCCAAATGGGAAAAATGGGTTGAATATAAAAGAAAAATGAACGACACCACAAATTGAGAGTTGGAACCAGACCATGATGTTGCATTAAAATAGGATAGAAAGCTTCCATGTCACTGTTTGCTTGTTTTTATTATTATTTGTATTTTCTTTTTTCTTCTTCAATGGGTTTCTAATTCAAGTGTATACTGAACTACATGTGGTTTTGTATGTTTATAAAAATGTCAATAAAAATGTAAGTGGAAAAAATAATACTTATTGCATATGTGATATTAATTAATTAGCTCGTTACCATCACAATGTATCACTATCGTTTAGCAGTTTTGCAAATAATTAACCACTCTCTGTTTTTGTACCATTCTGCATTGAAGTAGCCTACCTTCTCTTTGCCCAAATAATCTACTAGCGGTCTCCTTTTTTCCGATAGTTAGCTGTACAACTTTACCCGNAGTAGTTCCTGCAAAGATCCACTGATAAACTGCGATGTTAACAACCTCATGATAACCTCATATGTTTTAACTTAGGATCGTACCTGTGTTTAGTCTAGAAAAAGGTAAATGTGTGCATTTTATTATAAAGTTGTGTCTATTTACAGACTGTTGCAAAAACTAAGAAGCTTATAAACATCAGGTGTAAAACTAAAAGAGCTTTACAAAAAAGTAATACAATGAAAGATGTTTGGAGTTCTATTTGAGTTATTAATTTTTATTTTTCGTCAAAGAGATGCTGATTTGAAACCGTTGTTACATACAGTTACAGCATTTCCTGTTTCTGCTGGAGAGAGGGGAGTCCGTCCCAAAGCTTGCCGCTGTATTTACTCCCTCCATCTGACAGGAGGGAGCCTCGTTGAGCTGCAAGTGTCACTCCACAGACGGAGGGGTAGGGTGTAGGGGTAGGGTGTAGGGCGTGGTTTGGGATTGGGCCTAAACCTCAGACATTAATCTGGATATTTTGCATCTCATGATCTGAGGCTTGTTGCGTTGGTGACACAAGTTACATACTCCGGCTGGATCGTTCTACGTGAACGGAACATTTGTGTATTTCCAGTTCTTGTTTCTGTGTCCTTCCAAAAATAAGATCAGACGGAAAAGGTTTTGGTTGGAAAATGTTGGAAAAATAGGCAAATTACAACAAATATGTAAAATGTAACTGATTATGGAAGCTGTGTGGGTGTGTACGTTTCTACGTCACAAAGGGAACACCACACATGAAATAGTTGCCCTTTAATTATCGCATGACTCAACTTGTTGGACTTAAACTCCTGTTAAATAACTACATTAAAAAGGGTTTTACCTGGATGACACTTGCTGCATAATGCTGAGCAACAACGCTCCCATTTAAAAAGGCAGGTCCTGACTCTGGCCCTCCTCCATCTCCTCCTCCTCTTCCTCCACCCTCCTCTGCTGTGGAGGGGCGGCTGACGTTCCCACTTTTCCGTCTGTAAGCACACAGCTGCTGAATCCTGACTGCTGCTGTGCTACTTTAAAAAGAACACACACACACACAGACAAAAACACACACGCAGAATGAGCGAGGTGTCACAGCACCTTCGTTTGAATTGATTTCTGAGCGGACATCTGGAGAGCAGGACTCTGGAGGGTGTCGGCCTGTCCACAGCCACCCTTCACATCAGAGATCTATCGCCCTCCCGGAGACGTTAATGATGAAGCTGCGTGTTAAAATGAATAAGATGTTCGACATCTCGTGCGGTAAATCACAGAGAGGAGGCTCCGGCGGTGAAACATGCTCTGAAGGAGACACTAATCAAATGCTCACCTGCTTTATGAAGGATTATATAAAAAATTGTGTTTGCTTACGGTTAGCAAAGTACACTTGTGTAGCTTTTGGTTTGAAAAGCTGATTTCACTGATCTCTGGTTAATAGTAAGTAAGTATAAGTAGGTCAAATGTATTTGGAAAGCGCTTCCCAGACATAGTCACAAAGTGCTTAACAAAGCATTAAAACACCATTGAATCATAAAAGATTAAATAGTAATAATAATAATAATAATAATAATAATAACAATAATAATAATAATAGCATAGTTTTAGATTGAGTGGATGCAAAGAAATGGAGAGTACTAACCTTTGGAGGTTCAGATTCTCATGGTTGGACACAGGTGCCATTTCGATATTGGAGGAAGTTGTCGAGGGGTGAACACTTTCCGAGTTTGCTTCTCGAACTGTTGGCCCGGTGTGTGGATGTGTTGCAACAGTGTTAAATGTGTTATGTTGGATTTCTGCAGCGTACTTATCCTCAAAAGCCCAGTTGCTGCATCTGGTATTGTCTCGATTTGGAAGAACTGGAGAGACGTGTCCAGTGGATTCCATTTCTCTGTGGTTTCCAGTATTGCTACTGTCCATGTCAAGTGTTCCCTCAGGTGTTGTTGCGCCTGCAGTCACAGTGGTGTCTCCGTACTCATGGGCATATCTCTGGTCCTCAGCCAGCTGCAGAGCCTCAGTGAAGTGTCGGCAGGAGGACTTCACAGCATCCAGGGAAGACGAGGCATTACTGTGGACCAACACACACAAAAACACTGCTTTAGGTGTAGTTTCGTAACCCTGGTTACATGTATTTGTATTGGGGAACATGAAAGTTAATTAATTAATCTCAAAAAAGAGAAAAAAGTTTTATCCCAGATGTATGTTCTGGCTGATTTCCATGAGTAGTTTCTCTATTTCTAGAATGTCTTTAAAATGGGATGACTGATTAAATGTTAATGTACTAAACTTAATTAATTTGGCAATGCTGCATAAATGGAACAAAATATATATCATGAGCAGCTGTCTTCCAGTTTGAATGTTTTTTTCAATGTAAAGATGTTAGCTTTCATTTAGTTATGACTTGTTATCTGTTGTACTGCGATTAGTTGGACACTGGAAATATTATTAGTAGATCATATCAGAGCTGTGGATCAGTACAACTGGAAATCAGTCAAAAAAGTGCAAATTGGGGATTCTTTAAAGTTCTTTTTTTTATTTAATCAACCTACCAAATACAAATGTTGTGTTTCTGACACAACACATATGTATATAATCATATTAAACCCTACCAGCAGTATCTTTGCTTACCAGACTTTAAATCAACACTTTTCTTAATAACTGATCGATGGCATTGTGTATTTTAATGATTCAAACAAGAACATGACATTCAGAGTAACTGAGTTTGGAGCACTGTCTAATACTGAAACAGTATTAGAGAATCTTAATGAATGGAATATCAGATCATTAAGTGTTTTATTCTTGCCCGGTTCATCTGAGGTGAATGAAGTGAGTGTGAGTGAGTTGCCTGACTGCTCTGTGTATTCCATATAATGTCTCTTTCATTGAGGGGATAAACGGACTACAAAGCCACCTCAATAGAAACTTAATTAATCTATTAGCAATGCTTTGCCCCAGTCTTCATCCCTGAGGGGGCAGAGACGCTTCAGAGCCCAGCAGTCTGAGGGCCAGTAGCCTCAGGTAGTGCAGCCTCTGCTCCACAAAGACCCGGCTCTTCGCTCTCAGTGGGACCAGATAGGGGGGGCAGTCGCGGGGTCCAGAAGGATTGTGACCCCACTGACCCCCTTCCCCCCCTGC